TTAAATTTAACTCCAGGTTGCTTCAAAGCACTAAGAAGCTGTCGCAGAGTTTCTGTTTAATTCTTTGCCCGTTTGCAAACAGTACATTATCTTGCTTGTGTTATGAGAGCTTCCAAGATGTAGACTGGTGCAAAGATGCACTGAGTTATAAAGAAAATAAGGAATATAATCCCTTCTTGCCTACCTGCAGGGTAATATACATTGGATGTTACTTGAGTTCCAGTCTGAAAGCCTGACCAAAGTCCCTGGTTGGGAGGCGGAAGGGAGTTATCAAAACCTTACAAACACTGGTTCACTTTTATGCAACGTGCCCTGATCATACGTGCTGGTGGTTAGTCTAAATTTCCTTCCCCTCTTCAGACTAGCCAGAAGAATAATCTACTGTTGGGGTTTTTTTTAGCCCTTATTGAATCATCCTATCTACACACTGAAGAGGACTCAAGGATTTCCTGTTCATTGCCAGTATGCGTTATGCCACTGAAATTATACCTCTTTTCTGCTCTTCTCAACATACTTCAGATGAAATTACTAAGGACAAATAAAGAACAAAGTACCTGTCCTGAGGAAGCCACACTATAAGCTGATGTTGCTGAAATGGACAGAGTGTGGGTACAGAGGTGGAATCCATCACTGTTTATTAATCTATGTCTCCTCCCCCCAAAGTGCTGTACAGGTGGAATTGTCGTAGAATCCAAATTAAGACATCCGAACATATAGATGATGAACAAGGAGGGAAATGGGGCACTTTGATAAGGTCAACTTCTACTGATAGAGGAATATCCTCCCTGTACAAGAGCCACTATGCAAAACAGACTTAGCTGAAGGGACAAAGGGGACAGGACACATGCTAAACTTGATAAACTGAAAGAAAAAAAATATTAAAAGAAGAGAACAACTATTAAGCTTCTAACCTTCAGTGGTCCAAAAGTCATGTATTTAGCTTTCCACTTACTGTGAATTGTTGGAAGTGACACGTTCCCGTGGTATCCTCCTTTGCTGAACACCCCACTCCCTGGGGATCGGCAGAGCCTCTTGCCTGGCATCAAGCACATTTGCCTCTAACCCAGAAAATCCTTGCCTGGTCGGTTCCTGGAGTTCTACCATTTGTCCCGTGTGACCTGATTATAACTTTGATCGATGGCCAGAGCAGCCATCTGCAAAGTACTCAAGGCTTCAGCAAAAGGCATCTTTGATTTCTTTTCAGTGCCTTAAATGTGCTTGTAAAGTCACCTTGAGCACACAAAGATGACTTCTGTTTCTCTTGTTGATGAGCTTTCAGATGATTTGATTAGAAAGCATTTGATACTGAGCTGCACTGCTATTGGGAGGAATGATATTCTTTCACCTGTGTTCTTTCTGGCTTTTTCTGGATTCTGTTATCAAACGGAAGTTTTTAACTTACCTTAGTGTGCTTCTGTGGCCTTTTTGTCACGAAGCAGAAAAAAAAAACCCTAATGATTTCTGATCCAAACACTGCAGGCTGTTATATACATGAAATATCCTGAAAACAATTATTTCTCATTCGTCAGCAAAGCAGTCCTTCCTCCCCATCTGTGTGTGCTGTTCTGACTCTGCCCTTTTTCCCCAGTCAGTACGTCTGAGTGGCAAGCTCCCTGTTTGCTAAGGCTTCAGACAACAGGGCTTTAATGCACTTTTTTTAATGCCACATCTTTAATACACTATGGAAAATGTTTCTGAGAATATGCTTCTAAGGAGAAACGCGGTGCGTTCTTGTTTGTTCCACAAATGGGAAAAAAATAAAAATCACTGTCACAAGGCAGGCATTTTCTGAATTAAACCTCAATATAACAAAAATATAGCTATGCCAAACACATTATGAAATAAGAAGGAATTGAAGTGAATTTTTGTCTTTATGTGGTACCACATAATTGAAATGGACAAAGGTCCAAATGTACCAGATGAATCTTGAATGATTACATTTATAAATATTCAAAAGAATCACAATCATTTCTCTCTGTTACACTAGAGGATGTGCAATATGATATTTTATTTGTTTATAAGAATAAGAAATATTCTTCAAACTCCCTTGTACTCCTTTTTGCCTTTGAGCTCCCACTAGTTTTATGGTTGATTAGCTAAGACATTCCTTTCAACAGTTACAACTCCAGAGAGGCAGGAAACAGCAGAGGAACAAAATTATTCTAGAGCATCATCAGAAACTTGGCAATGCACACTGCAGTGGCAGAGGTAGGGAGCAGAAAGGAGAGGTATTTTACTGAGTCAAGTCAATATTCAACTAAAAGGAAAAAGCTCTCTGTTGCCTGCAAGTTGGGAAACTAAGAAATGAATACACAGGAAAATTGATTTCCCTCTGGTATTATAACCCTGCTATTCAGTGTGTTGGGAAATAACAAAAGAAAGGGAGAAGTAGAATAGCTCAGATTAGACCTCCTTGAAAAATATGGCCTACAGGTTTAGAAGCATCATAGCAAAAGCAAACATTCAACATGGTTCTGCCCTTTAAGGATGAGCAAAGCAAAAAATGATCACATTTTCCACCATAATGTCTAATTTGTAAATTAAACTAGATTTATGCAAATCTAGATTAACAAAAATTTGATATTGGCCACAAATTTCAGTAAACACAGTGACACGTGGAAAAAAGTAACCCAGGCAGCTAAGCAGCCAATCAACTCTGGCATCAATAACAGGATTAGGGGGGAAAAGGAATGAGGAAGTGGAGAAAGAATGGATGGACAGAGACATTAACATGTATGGAAATGGGATAAAAATCTATCATGACTTCACTCAAAGGATCTGGCTGGACAATAACTACTTTTTTAAACAAAGTATATCTAACCTGGACTTATTAAAACATTTGATATAGGAGTATCTAAGAACAGGCAATTAGTAAAGATATATAAAAGATGTGTAGGAAGTGGTACAGCACTGAAAGAATAGATCATGCTCAGTACAGAGAATAATTATAAGCAAAGCTCTTCCTTCTTGGCATTAATATTCTTTAGTATTTGTGTGTTAATGAAATTTCTAATGAAACAAAATCTGCAGGCACTGTTAAGACAAAGGATGATCAGAACAAATATAGCGAGAACTATAGGACTGTAACAATATTAAGAACATTGATTTATGTGAACAGTGTTGTGAAATGCCAAGTCATCTGTTCTTACTACCATGCAAAAAAAAAAAAAAAAATTCTACCAAAAGCTAGAACCCACTGCTGGAAAATGAGTGAGGAAGAGAAAGACCTTACTGTACTGTTCCAGGAAAGACTATTATCTGTGAAAGTTATGCAGTTGTGAAAGATAACTGATCTGGCTTCAAACTTCTACTCCAAATCAGATGAAAGGGAAATTTCAACCCAGAGGTCCCACATTCTAAGTCTGAACGAGAACAAGTGCTCTCTTCTGAAAAGCAGGGATGTAATTTAATTTTCACTTTTGCATAAGGACTGACCTGGGAGGTATTTCCTGGGAATATTTCCCAGAGTGGGTCCTGCAAGCATGACAGGCAGGGGATATCTAGTTTGTGAATCCCAAGAAGATTCAAGCATCTCAGCAATGCGGAGAAATGGCAAGACTTTGTTGACTGTTTAAACAATGCTGTAAATAGAGAGAAAGGTTGTCCTCTGACTCTCCAGCTTTCCACCTTACACACACAATTGGACAAAAGAAAAATTCCAGGTCCTTGCTATAACAACAATTAAAAGATACCGGCATAGCAAGCCACATTCTCAGTAAAAAACTCTGTAAACCTGAATGCCTTTATGCCAGTAGTTTTCTCACACATTAAAATCAGCCTACTATACTGGTAAAAGGCTGCAGGTATGAAATTTTGAATCCAATGCTATCAAGAGAAATTCTATAAAGAACTGAAAAAAAACCCAACAAACCACACAACAATATTTTATCCATTCTCAAAAGAGCAAAGTCCATCATCACATTTGCCGCTTGTGTATTTCAGCATAGAGAAGGGGTGAACTTTAATGAGAAAGACTCATTTTGCTTATTTTATGTGTGTAAATTATTTCAGACAGCATTGTCACAAGCTTAATTCAGGAAAGGATTTTGGCATACCTTTAAATTACACTAAAATGAATGAAACCTGGACACAAACTTAAAGCATATTCTTAAATGCTTTCTAGAATAGGAAGAAGCAGCTCAGCTGTATCAAGTTCTTACCAGACTGTAGCACAAGCTACTATCATTTTGTATTTCAGTGCACACAGAAATCCCAGTCTTTTATAATACCGAAGTTACTTTAGAAATACACATACTTTTGTGTACTGTGTCTTAAAACATGCCATTGATTTCCATTTTGCTTGCCACATTCAACTTAATAATACACCCCAGCTGAATTACCTATGGTTCTCCTGAAAAAGGAAATGTATCTTCTAAGTGCTGCTATAATCTTAACTAGAGTGCCAAATAATGCATGCTTACAATATTGTCTTTATAAAAGTGATCATGAATTGTTTTTTCTCTGATGTACTTAGATTCCCTGAAGATTTGTCAGTGAAGAGATCTGAAATTTTATTTCACAAGTTTTATCTACATCGACAGTTTGACAGAGTCACCAGCTATTAAATCAGTATATATAACAGACTGCGTTGCACGCGTTGAAAGTTTAACTACAGCACAAGGGTTAGAAAAAAACCCACAAAACACCTATTTCAAGGACAATTCTAACCTCTTGCCGTTATTTATAAATGGAAACAAGCTGCCACACAGTTCAGCAGTAATCCTCGTGCTCCTCACGTGAACTCCAACAAGGCATTTGAATGAGACTTTTAAAGCTGTAAATTGTCCATCAAAACACAGAATAAATTCTACTAATCCTTGTGCCACAAATTACTAATCCATCTGGAAAGCTATTTTTTCACATGTGTTTACAAGGATCTAAATGTCATCAGACAGAAAGACAACTAGGTTAGTAGCATGTTAAAAAAAAAAAAAAAAGACAGAAATAAATACTCTGAAGCAGCTGACCACAGAATAAATAGGATTTGCAGAAGTACTTACAGCTCTCAATCTCCAGCGTGCAGTTCTGCTCATCCAGCGGATACCGCCGTAGGTCCATCATACAAGCAGCTGTTGTTGTAATTCTGGGAAGGAAACAGAAGAGTGTGTTAATGTGTCTCATTCCAGTCTTTCTTTGATCACACATAATTGAAAGAAGAAAATATATTTCTACAGGACCGATGCTTTTGCCTATTTTTACTGAAAAACCTTATCTGCTGCTTACTGTAACTAATGTTCTAAGAAGGTTATGCCAGTCTGGTGGGCGAGCAGAGAGCTTCCCCTTTACACATCATTATCACAGTACTGTAAGCTTTAATAATCATCAACCAATTTATCCTGACAAAATGAAGCATGAATTACGATAGTATTTTTATAGTGAAGGACTTCAAGCCAAAAAGGAAAGGCTCAAAGAAAGGTGGCAGAAGAAATATAAAGAGGAACAAAGAAAGACACATACTTCGTATCCTGGGTTAATAATCTAATCCCTTCATGAAACTTAATTCTGCTTTCTTCTGTTCAATAGTGCTTTGTAAATGAAGTATTATTTTATCTTCATGTTAGAAAGCAAACATTTTCAGGACCATTTTCACAAAACATTTAGACCAAATCTGTGCTTCCAGATTTTACCAAACCTACTAACATTAACATGTGTCAAGCATGCCTTTTAGATGCTGAGAGAAACATCTGTACCGTCAACGAAACTTTTGCTGATAAACTTCAGGGAGGAATATGACCCTGAGCTGGATATGAACCAAGGCACAATTCTCAGCAGTTTAACTGTGTTCCTGTCAAGTCTTCTTCATGTGTAGACAAAAATCAATTCTTAATCTTTTTTTTTTTTTTTCCCCTGAGAGCATGCTATAACTCTGTAGTAATTAAAAAATATTACAGTTTGGAATCTGCCAACAGTCAAAATAGTATGTCCTGCACATAGTCCACATAGGACCAGGTGTCAATTTAGTGCATGAGCTGAGAGGTTTCTAGCCTTTCTTCTCTCCCCTCTACTTGGTAAGAGCCCTTCTCCTACAGCTCCTAAAGCCTGGTGATTCATACAGACTCCTAAGAGAAACAAGGATTTTCTCCTGTGTGTTAAGTACAGCTGACCGGCCAACTGCATCTGGGGAATCCGCTTCCACACCAGTAGAAAAATTGAGCATCGCACAGCACAGCAGCCAACTGTACAAGCTTTCTTTGAGCTGAAGGTTGACCAAATGATTTAGCTCAAATCATAAAATCCAAGATGATGTGGGTGTGCCTCCAAAATGGGACCCAAGTGGATAGATGAAGTGCCTACAGCACATGCAGGCAGCCCATCATCTGACGGTATCAGCAGCTACATCTTTCCAGGGCATTCATGAGAGACTGGGTGACAAACAGTTTTCTTCTCAAAATCCTGTCCCCCTGTATGAGGGTTACTGGCCTTTCATAGTAGATATTTAGACTGTTTGATAACTGTTTAAAAAAATTATTTCGCGTTCTTTGATCTGACAAGACAGAGAACTCTTTCATTTGATGGACCTCATTCTTTTTCCTTAAACACCGAATAAGAGTTTGTTAGAAGCAGAAAACTACAATTGCCTGAGAGAGGCTCAAAATTCACTCAAAATTGACTCCAGCAATCCTTTCCACAAGGCACTTAAGAAACACTGAAGCTATACAGTCTTTTCATTAGTATCCTTAGTGTCCTATCTAACAATGCTTTACTGTCATTTCCAGAAAAAAAATCCCTGTAAATTTCTTCAAAGAAAAGAGAACAAAAGTAGGGGCAAGTTATTCTTATAAACACTTAGTAAGTCCTACCTCCTTCTTGTCAATGTAGACAAGATGCCTTAATTTTACATTTTGACCATTCACATGTATTGGGCTTTCAGAGAAAAGGAACACCTTTTGGCACTAAGTTCTTTCTTCAATCACTACATGGGTACTCACAGAATTGCTGTTGAAAATGTATTGTTTTCAATCAGTGTGAGTCACCCCAGATGCTTCAGAAGAAAGCTTTCTGGAGTGGACAAAAGCAGGGGAAAAGAATCCTTTGGCTCCCCTCAATGGGAGTCTTCCAGCTTTTAACAAAACCAGACTGCTGAGGAATATATGTTTGTTGATAGCAAATGCAAATGGAGCAAGCAGCAGCATATACTATTAAAAAAACCTCTTAGCAGTTCATACTTGGTTCCTTATTTTAAAATTTGGAGGAAAAAAAAAAAAATCAAAGAAATTGCCCTGTTCCAGTATCAATGTAAGATTGACTATTTTGGGGCAAACTTCAGGAAAGGTGGAGTGAGACCAGAAAAAAAAATTACAGCTCATGTTTTTTGTTTAGTTGTGTTTTTTGGTGGGGAGGTTTGTTGTTTTGTTTAATACCCTCAGTATTGGGTATTAATGAGTTTTAGAAGAATTTCAGTAGTTCACAGAGGAAAAGGCAGGAGCATAGATTTACAGCCAAGGTTTAAGCACACAAAAGAATCGTGGTAAATATTAACCTAGTTAACTACTAAGTTTTCTAATACCTTCTTCTGCACTAAACACATTCTTCCTACCAGAGTCTACTAGGCCAAGGGCTTCAGCATAGAGACAAAACCACACCTGTGCTACCCTCAGCAAAGTGTATGTTCACACTGATGGTGGAGCTGAGCACTCACAATTCTGACATATCTTCAGTAGGATTTTTGGGTGCAACAAATACCACAAAAGGGGCCAAAGGCTGCAGCTAACTAGGATAAAAGCTCTGTAGGGAACATTATCAAATCATTAAAAGACACAGTGCCTTACCTCATCAGAAAGTAAAGAAAAAAAACGAAGTGGCACAGTAATGAAAATGATTGGTAGAGCAGAGTTTTAATCAAACCAAAACAGTAGTTTTGAATAATGTATTTAATTCAACTCGCTTGTTCATTCTTATCCATAATGCAAATCCATTGAAATAAAATAAGAAGTCTGTCCTTTCCTCTCTTCGTACCTCCCTCATATTTTTACCTTGTCTTTTCTCACATTTATGGTAAAGTAGAAAAAGTTCTCTTTCATCTTCAAAATTATTTAAACAACAAAACTACTTTTTGATAATTCTTAGTGGTTTGCAATTCATGGTGAATAGCTAAACCAAATTACCAATGCAAGAGCATGCAAGAATTACCACCTCTGAATAATTTTAAAGTCAAGACACATGACCTATAACTTTTCAGACAGAGGAAGAAACAGCAGTTCATTATAGCAGCTTGGAATACTTGAAACAGGCATAAAGATTCTTCCCCAGAACAGAGTTATTTCAATTTTCATAAAAGGATTAAAAATATTTTTATACAGCCTGAACTAGTGCACAAAATATAACATTGTATTTTGCATAATGTAACCTTGAGAACAAACAACAAAAAGGTGAAAGCTTTTAAGAAACAACACTGTGACTCAACGCATTACAGTCATTAGGGATGATAGCAGAATAACAGTGCTCTCAGAGAAACACCATATGAAATGAAACACATTACAGAACTGTCTCATACACTAATCTTTTCATCCACTGTTAAAGAAAGAGAAACCTTGTGATATTTCATTTTATGATTCCTAACAATGCAAACCAGTCTTCAGCTTCCTCTTTTACGATATATATTTTGAATGTAGACTGATTATGGAGCACAAAAAAAAAAAAAAGCAAACCCTAAAGCTCTAAACTGACTAAATAAAGTATTATGAAGTAGACCTAAAGAAAACTTCATGTGTCAAAACAAGCATAGCTACAGCATGAAGAAACCTGCACCACAACTAACTTGCAGAGAAAGCACAGTTTGCTGTCAATAATTCAAAATAATTCAGATAAACTCTTATTTCTGAGAAACCTGAAAGTCTGTCCTTGTCTCCAAACCTTTGGGGAAGTTCTATGATTCAAATAAGAGCTGGAAGTTGGTACTGCTCCTTTCACAGGCCAAACTTGAAGGCCATAAATAACTTTTTTATAACACTTCCAAACTTAAAGTGATGCAGAAAATAATACCCCTAACAAATACTATCCCAGTAGTGCTAATAGTTCTTATTTTTCAGTGCTATGTAGGGGACGGTTTTTCAAAATCCCATAGATTTTGCTCTTCTGACAAGTTCAAGTGGGATTTGAAATTCAAAATAGCAACTTAAACAGTTCTGACATCACCAGTGAGGAAAAAACAGCACTGAAAGACAGGAGAGCAATGCTAATGATACGCAGAGATGGACAGAATGCAATTCCCTCTCAGAACTGCAGTGGCTCTGCAAAGTTATGGGGAATAAGCAGCAATAAAAACGTATCTCTGCCCTGGAAGTAAGCAACCCTGATCTGTAATTACAGGATTACAGACACAACAGAAATGATGAGCAAGAAGGCGACAATTTCAGATAGCTCCTCTGAGTAGAGTGGTAGTATGAGAACTATATAACACTCTCTTAACTCTAGCACTGGCAGATCGTGATCCTATTGAGTCAAAGACAGAGATGAAGCCCAGGAAAACACAAAGATTAATTCTTTCTTTAAATGTATGCACATACATCCTGTCAAAAGCAGTGTGAGATTCTGCTTCAGATTTGCCTATCTGAAGGCAGACTGTGACTCCCCATTACCAATATCAGGAGCAATCCAAAGAGCTTGCAAGGATACCACGCTCTATAACAGACTGCATCTCTTTATCATGGACTTCATAAGAATCCTCTGCACACACTTACTGGGAGTCACAAATTCTCTGAATTAGTTGCTGTAACTATGTACTGCAGCTAAACCCACTGTTCAGTTCTGCTTCTTGGAAACAGTCCTGCTGCGTGACAGTTGGAAACATTGGTGGCAGCAGCAACCAGCAGAACCAATTTCAAATACGTGGAAATCTGGCAACAAAACTGTGATGTGACGAATCTCTCTCCTGAACAATAATATTGGATTTAGACATATGTGTCAAGGTTGTTAGACATACTAACATATCTACTTTTAAATTAAAATAGATTTATTGCTATTTATCAAGTTCACAGAATTCTTCCTTCTTCTGCCTATTCACATAAAAGATAAACTTCCCTTGTGTGATCATAGGTTAAGAGTTGGCTTTAGCAAAGGATAAACAACAGTGACATTTCTACA